CCCGCTTCCCCCCTCAAGGTCCTCCGGGGACGTGGCTGCCTCCCGCAGAGGCCTCAGAGATGCACCCAGCCAGGCAGCTGCAGGGCCAGCGCGGCCAGGAGGAGGGAGCCGAGGGCGGCGCGGGCGCCGGGGGCGGCGTCGCACTCCTGCCGCTCCGCGTCGCACCGCGACTGCTGGCACAGGACGCCCTTGAAGCCTGCGGGGCAGAGGCACCGCTGGTTCTGGTAGCAGGTGCCGCCGTTCTGGCAGAGCAGGAGCTCGTCGTCGCACACGTTGGCTGCGAGCGGGAGGGAAGGACGCGGCGTTAGTCCCGGCACCGGGTAACGTAACCTCCGAGGCTGAAGGAGCAGATGGGATAGGGGAAACTGCGGGATCTGGGAGCAAAACTATCAAGTGATGGAGGATTTGTGGGGACTTTGTGAGGAGCTTAGGGTTGTTCTCATGATGGACCCTGAAGAACATGGGGCAGCTGAGCTGGAGAAGATCCCCTTCATATTTGGACCCATCTCACCCCTTGTTTTCTGTCTCTGAAGTAGGACAAAGTAGGACCCAAGGTTGGTCCATCCCTGAGGTAGGACTGTCCCCAAGTTTGGCTCATACCCAAAGCAGGACTGTCCCCAAGGCAGGTCCATGCCCGAGGCGGACTCCATGGAGCCCGAGGTACTCACGGAAGCAGCCCTGTCTCCAGTAGTAGTTGGGCAGACAGTCGTCGCACTTGGGCCCCGTGGCGCCTTCCTTGCATTCACAGTAGCCGGTCTCATTGCAGCGGTCGTGCACGGAGCCGATCTGGTTGCAGTTACATTCTGCAGAATGTAGATGCTGGGGCTCTTAGTCCCCTCGGACAAGCCCTGGCCGTGAGACCCTCCACCCCCTTGGTGTTGCACCAGGGACATTACAAACACCCCGGCATTGCCAGAACTGCAGGGGAGCCCCGGAGGGCTCCGCGCTGCTCCCAGCTGAGCAATATCATTTTGGTTCACGCTGACAAGGGGCTATTCGGGCTTTTGGGGCAGAGAGGCCTCGAAGGCCTTGCATGGCCACGCATCCCTCAAGAGAGGACCCGCACGAAGCCACGCAAGCGCTGGCCCTCACCTATGCAGACGTTCTCGTCGTCCAGCTCGGCCGAGCTGTTGCGGTAGAAGCCCAGGCGGCAGTGCTGGCAGTGCTGGCCCCGCGTGTTGTGCTTGCAGCTCACGCAGGTCACCACGTTCAGGAAGTCGATGTAGCTGCAGCGGTTGGAGTGGCCGTAGCACTCGCAGTCTGCGGGGACGAGGAAGAGGAGGGAGCTGGGGGGGCTGCACCGGGGCAGCCCGTGCGAGGGGCCTGGGGCGGGAGGTCCCTCAGGTGGTGAGGGGCAGAGTTGCTTTAAGGAAAGCCCTGCTGAGGGCAGCAACCGGCAGAGGGGAGTTAGGTGCTAGTGAAAGAGCCAGCTGGGCAATAAGGGGAACCCAGTTCTGTGCCTGGAGGTGGGTGGACATGGTGCTCTCAGGGCTTGGACTCTCCAGCACTGGGGCCGGTGGGGGATGTGGCAGGGCTTGGTGGGCGGCGGCCTCAGCAAGGCTGAGCTGGAGCTGGAGCTGCCACACGCCGGGTAAGTCCCCGCTGACCTTCCCACCCGTGTCCTTTCTCGCATGCCAACACAGAGGGAACCCTGGTCGTCTCTGAGCTTCCTCATGCTTGAGGAGGGAGGCTCCGAGCTGGAGTTGTGGTGTGAAACATGAAGCGATGGCAGGGAGATGGCAGACAGCAAGGAGGGCGGTCATGCGCGGGGGTTTGGAACAGGAGGTTTGTGTCAATGAAATGAAGAGCAGGGATGGTGGAGCAGGGCAGAGGTTTCCCCACAGTTCGTTGCTGCCTGAGGAGGGACTGGGGGTTGGTGGTAACCCCGACCCTCCATGAAATAGCGGTCACCGGCCTGAACCCAGCCTAAGGACATCGTCTCAATGTCCCGACCATGCAGGTCACCAGCATTAGTGTGTGTGAGGTGCTGCCTCCTGCCTGGAGCGCATCCCTGTGCAAACAAACCCCCCACCTCTTCCTTGACTGAAACAACTGGATCACATCACACTGGCGAAGACTAGGAACCCTGGAGCTGCCGGCGCCGAGCTCCCTCCTCTTACCTTCATACGTCTCCATGGGTGCCGTGGGGCCAGAGGCAGCTTTGAGCCGGATGAGTTTTGAGCTCTTGGAGGACGCTTAAGAGAAACCAGAGAGAGGCCTGTCCTCCATGCGCCGCCCTGTGCTCCGGCAGCGCCTCGAGCCCAGGTGGCAGCAGCACGGCCCAAAATGGCTCCTGCGCCT